AAAGAAATACGGGTGGGGTGGGGGGTGGGGGGGGGGGGGGGTAAAGGCTTTAACTGACCACAAATATAAAAATAGTGTTGCATAAGGGGCATATAAGGTTTCTACTGACGACCAATGTTAGCGGAAATGTTAAAGGCCAACAGGTCCACTCATTTAAAGTTGTCTATTATTGTGGCATGGAGGCATAAAATCCTGCTCCTGACCACCAATTCAAAATGCTGTGTGCTACAGAGAAAATTCACCCTTGAGCCACAAGGGTCCCCATCAAATTGTGAAATGGGGTATTGTAATTGGTAGTTACCCCCTTATTCTTTTTGAAAGTGCAGCATATACCGTATTTTTCCGTCTATAAGATGCCCCCATGTATAGGACGCCCCCCACTTTTCTTACCCGAAATTCAGAAATCAATATTTTCCATGCTTTTTTGCATAACTGATTATATCCAGTTTAAATTTTGCAGAGTAAGACAGCCGCTTACTGGTACCGGTATTTACCGGTATTTTTTTGTTTTCTGAAATTTTTATGGGCTCCCTGTTGCAATTGGGCACTGGCTACACGCTCTCCCAGCATCAGCTGATGTCGGGTACATAAGGCTCATGATTGGAGGAAACCTGTTAGCTTGTCTCTGCATTTGGAAGTTTCACTCGTGAGGCTAGTTTGCAGAGGTATCGGCTGTTTCGCAAACGCGGTTCTCCTCTCTGCCCCCCCTGTATAAGACGCCCCTCCGTTTTTAGGTAAATATTTTTAAGAAAAAGTATAGTCTTATACATGGAAAAATACAGTACTACACACTTACCCATCTACAGAGCGGATCTGGATATAATCAGCCTCTGTCATACGCTCCACAAAACGGATGCAGGTTAGCAAGGTGTATTCCTGAATGGCGGAATAGATGATTGCAGAGTCAGAGGATGCTATAAGGAAAATGAAAATAAATGCTAGGTATTAAATATGCATGTAGCTTAAGTAAAGGACGGCTGTTGGAAGTCTAGTTGATAGTATATGCTAGAACTACCACAATTTAATATATATGGTATTAATTAAATGAAGCTAGAACAAGATTTAAGAATATTTGCTCTCGAAAGAGCCATTCGTTATCATCTGCAGCCCTAGGCTCAACGTGGTCAGCTCAGCTTTGAATTACCTGCTAATCTCCTCTGTCTTGACGGCATTAGATGTCATAAAGCTATGTAGTCACTTTCACTGATTAAAGTGTATGTAACAGTAAAACCAAAACTATCTTTCTTAGTTAAAACCCTTTCCCTGTCAACCAGCAGTTATTTCATATTTTGGGGGTTAAAGTACACGTAAAATATTTTTTTTTAAAGCTTTGGGTAGAGTAGGGAATTGTTAAAACCCGTCTAGTCATTTTTGCTGTTTGTGTCCCTGTGTGGGAGATTTGACTTTTCATCTTGCCTCAGAGACACAACAGCAAGCACAAATGAAACGTTCTTCGAGACAGGTGTCCCCAATGATAGATTTCCCATCTAATGTTGCTCCAGTGACAGCTATAAAATTGTTGATTTTCCATCACTTTCTGTCCCAATGGCAATGGTGAAATGGTCATCAGCACAAATAAGAAGGATATATCTCTCCAGCAGGGACACAGACAATAGCATCCTGACAGGGACTATAACCCTTTCAATTAAGGAAAGCTGGCTTCAGATATACTTAGATGCTGCTGAGGTAGTGTCCTAGGGACAGAAGGTTAGAGATGGGTGCAGATGGGGACACAGGCATAAATAGGCAAAGCTGGAGATATAGGTAGTAGACTGAGATTTATAACTCAAGGTGTGCTCCCTCCAGCAACTATATGGCAATGCAATGCATTGGTATTGTTATGTATTAGTATCTGCTGTATAGCATTTCATCAGCCTGCTGTGTGTGTGTGTGTGTGTGTATGCCTAATCTGCAATCAAGCTTAGTGCCATCCGCCATCTTGTGACAGCACATGGTCACACAAGCTTCCTGCATTTCCCCTTTCAGTGTTTAAAACTGTTCCTCTGCATTGAGTTGTTTTGCCCTGCCTATCTAAACTGCTGTTCATCTCCTCCGTAAATGACATTAACCGTTTTCAACAAAAAAAGTACAAAATGTCTAAACACGGCCCTATGCACTATTATCGCTGAAACAAAGCAAGTACCTCATGCTTCTGATCACTCAGATGTAGAGGGAGCAGATTCCACAGATATGGCAGAGCAGAGTGTAAAACCCAAACGCACAATAAAACCAACACAGAAACTCAGAGAAAACTATGGAACTACTAGAGATGAGTTCTCCAGTGACCCATCAGGCCTATGGGACAGAACTACACATTGCATGTCAGTTTTTCCACACTTTAATGATCAAAAAGCTGAATTAATAGACTTTATAGATTGCCTATTTGCTGCCTAAGTTACCAGCATTTGTCTGCAAAATATACAGCTTTCTTAAGGGACACTAATATAGAAGACTCTTAAGCAGAATTAAGTAAGACTAACTCTCAAAAAACATCTCCATGGGTTTCTATTATCCTCCATATAATATACAGTAAAGTGACAATGTTCTATAGTAAATATTCAAGGCAGCTTACTGTATTCAGCAGACAGGGTGTAGGGTATAGTGACAATTCCAGAGCTGGATTTTGGCCAGAAGCATGACTGTCCCGGGCAGGTCAGAGCACTGCGACTGACTTTTACAGCGATATCTCCATGATGGATCAGCCTCTTGCTGTCTGCAGGATACAAATATTTGCTGTTTATCCCTTTTAAACAAAGTGCAGACAACATGATTGTATACAGAAGGAAGACATACCTCCCTCATAGGGCAAATGCCTGAAACATGCCAACGCATGACACTGTAGAGTGTAGACTGAGATTACACCAAAAAAAAAAGTTTGACTGTTGTTTGCATGTCACTTTTGCTTGCTTTTACCATGGTGCCATCTAATGGGGATGCCCGGAATAGTTGCCCATTTTATTGCCTATCTCTGCCACTCAATGCCAGACAGGGGAATTCCGTGCCTATACTTTGGTTCTGCATGTATGCAATCGGACAAGACAAGCTGATCATAGTCTGGCCTCTGCACAGTATCCTTCCCTTCACTAATGACAAATAGCACCTCGTGCCAAACCCTGTGTAGCTGCAAGCATGATTCCACAGATATGGCAGAGCAGAGTGTAAAACCCAAACGCACAATAAAACCAACACAGAAACTCAGAGAAAACTATGGAACTACTAGAGATGAGTTCTCCAGTGACCCATCAGGCCTATGGGACAGAACTACACATTGCATGTCAGTTTTTCCACACTTTAATGATCAAAAAGCTGAATTAATAGACTTTATAGATTGCCTATTTGCTGCCTAAGTTACCAGCATTTGTCTGCAAAATATACAGCTTTCTTAAGGGACACTAATATAGAAGACTCTTAAGCAGAATTAAGTAAGACTAACTCTCAAAAAACATCTCCATGGGTTTCTATTATCCTCCATATAATATACAGTAAAGTGACAATGTTCTATAGTAAATATTCAAGGCAGCTTACTGTATTCAGCAGACAGGGTGTAGGGTATAGTGACAATTCCAGAGCTGGATTTTGGCCAGAAGCATGACTGTCCCGGGCAGGTCAGAGCACTGCGACTGACTTTTACAGCGATATCTCCATGATGGATCAGCCTCTTGCTGTCTGCAGGATACAAATATTTGCTGTTTATCCCTTTTAAACAAAGTGCAGACAACATGATTGTATACAGAAGGAAGACATACCTCCCTCATAGGGCAAATGCCTGAAACATGCCAACGCATGACACTGTAGAGTGTAGACTGAGATTACACCAAAAAAAAAAGTTTGACTGTTGTTTGCATGTCACTTTTGCTTGCTTTTACCATGGTGCCATCTAATGGGGATGCCCGGAATAGTTGCCCATTTTATTGCCTATCTCTGCCACTCAATGCCAGACAGGGGAATTCCGTGCCTATACTTTGGTTCTGCATGTATGCAATCGGACAAGACAAGCTGATCATAGTCTGGCCTCTGCACAGTATCCTTCCCTTCACTAATGACAAATAGCACCTCGTGCCAAACCCTGTGTAGCTGCAAGCACTATAAGAAGTGTTACCCTCTAAATGTATCAAATTATAATGCAGCACATTTATTATTATAGTTTGATCCTTCCCTTCACTGTTGCAACTGTTGAAAGTCCTGGCTCTATCTATATCTTCTTCACTGTCTCTCTTAAAGGAATTGTATTGTGGCTTTGTATGTAGGTTCTTTATTTTTTTGTGGTCACACAGTGTTAGACCCCATTCACACTTGCAAATGTGAGACTATTTGTGTCCCAAGTGCGGTCATTTGCAGGTAAGTACATGTGCGATTACATGCGAATGGCCTGCAAACTGCTGTGGCTGGTGGCAGCTGTCTTTGTATTGTGCAGCGCCTCCCGCTCACAGAAGATCGTATGAGTTTCACAGAGGAATTCACGAGACTCAAGAGACTGGCCCCATTCGCAAGTGTGAATAGGACCTTAAAGAAATATTAAATATGAGTATTTTCCATTTTCATATGCAACAAGCTGATGGAAATTTAGGCTCTTTTTTATGTTTTCTAGTTTCTCCTTTGCACCTGTTGTAAAAAGTAATTTTATAGAACTCAATAGCTCAAGTTGAAATTTACACATACTAGTAAATGATTCAATGAAGTTCCCTGCCTTCTTCCCCCCTGTTTTGTGTTTGTATTCAGAGGCAGCCTTTGGTGTGCTATTTGTATAGAAAACCCAAGGTATAGGAATGGTTTGTTCTGAGGTTTCTTGCTGCATACATGTTCTAGATCAGTGACTTAAAAGTACTCATAAAATATTGAAACCAGAAGACTACCATGATGCACAACCAGCTAGCATTTTGAGATGGACTGGAATGTCACATATTTATTTAATGACAGGTTACCTTAGATTAGGAACCAATGAACACTTGGAGTAGCCCAAAAAAGTGATCTGGACCCAAGCAGTATTTTTAGAATGACTTAATGCTTGAGCAGCATGTAGGGACAAGTTGGTGACAGAATTGTCCTGCTTCCACTGTTTCTCTGTATTTCTAATCACATTTTGCATGTGAGGATCAGCCATTGTATGAAGATTGCAATAGACTGCGTACCTTTGTTTTGCTTAGTTATGGTACTGAAGATATCTTCTTCACTGTCTCCAGCTCCTGAAAAACATATGATATTACCTATTCAGCATGCTACATAAAAGACTAAGCAGATATTAATATAAGAAAAATATTTCCTTGAAGCATCATTAACCACCTATTGACAGAAAAAATAGCATATGCAATAAAAGACACTTGTGTCTATGACAGGACATTGACTGAAGGCTACCCTAGACATGAGATGCCAGAAGATCCCACCACTGAAAGATCTTTTATCAAAATGCATAATTACATCAATCAAGTGTAAACATAGCAAAAATGGTCTTTTGGCAAAGAAACAACATCAAACTTCTGTAAAATTCTTCCTGACCTCTTGAGATCTTAGTTCATTTTGTAAAGATTTAGAGACTGTTCACTGCGCTTAGTAAATTACAGTAGATGAAGTTGTGTTCACTTTAACCAACCAATTGTTTGGGACAGACAAAAATCTTTTTGTCTGTCCCTGTTACATTATTATGTATTGAAAGTGAACACAGGCTTACCTTATAGTACATACTAACATTAACTTTTTCAAAGCTAACAGTCTCTGGTGCTTTAATAAGTCCCACTGTGTCTGTAGGCTTTAGATTGTTTCCCACTCCAACCATTTTCAGTCAGACTCGGTGATGATATTTCAGAGCTAGGAGTAGCCTAAAGCTGACCATACACTTATAGATTTTCTATAGATTTTTTTTCCATCAGCCTTTGGTCAGATGAAAAAGTGCCACAGATTCCTCCGTCTACGCTAAACTGTGTGGGTGGAGGAATCTCCCACTGGGCCAAGCTTCAGTATCTCGCTAGTTGGCTCCGCTGGCTGTCAAAATACCTGAACAATCTGATTGGATGCAGGCATTGCTCAGGTATTTTGTCAGCCAGAGGGGCTAACTAGCAAGATAGAGGGGCCAACTAGCAGTTTAGCGTAGATGGACGAATCTGTTGCACTTTTTCCATCTAATCATAGGCTGATAGAAAACATTCTATAGAAATCTATAAGTGTATGGCTAGCTTTAGTTATTTTTGGGGGGTTACCCAAGTATAAACATGAAGCAGGCTATCACAGTGTCACTCGACAGCTTTAGGGCACGTAACAGTCAAGTGACTTTGTGAAGGGTGCCAGTTGACACAGGAGGGTGGTTAGACATGAACTCTAAGCACACTGTTCCTGTCAATGGAGTGGTGGTGAGAGGTTCTGGATCAGCTAACAGGAAATATTAGCCTTTCCCAATCAATAGTGCCCCCCAAAAAGTGGCCTGATCCAACTAATGCTATATTCTGTCCAATCAGCAACTACCACCAAACAGCCACACCCGCTAAAGTGGAAGTCATGCAGAAATGGGGTATATCGGGGGTTGTTGGACTTTTCAATTGTTACTGTTTCAGTTTCCGGGAAACGGGAAGGTGAGCACTTATTGGTCTTTCTGTGCCAGAGCTGTGCCCATTCATGCAGCCATTCTAGCTCCAGAATCAGGGGCTTTGTTAGACCCAGACAACCGGAGAACAGGCCCCAGGTCTCCAATGTCCCTGAGGTCTTAAACCTGCAGCCACTTTTTCCTATACTGGGTAAGATGGCTAACTCCTGTGTTTAAGTGAGCCTAATGTAGTTCAAAGGGGAGAGACTGTTGTTATTTTGTGTAACAGACACTTTAATATTCCTGCGTACTGTGCATCCTCTAGCGTTGGGCAGAGATTGTTTTTGAAGCATCCTGTCCTGTACTAGAGAACAATGGCAGCAAGATAGACTATCACTATACCTAGAGACAAGCAAGGTACTATTGGAGAGGATGGAACACTGATGGCAAGAAGTGTAAGAGAGCAAAGAAGAGACAGGAAGAACAAAAAGGACATAAGCCCAAGGGTCCCCTGGGTCCTTTTTAGACCCTATGGCCAACATGGTCCCTCCTCCTTTCAGAGCTGCCCCTGTGTTACCTGCCAATAGGAAACAATACATATATAAATAAGCAAGCATTTTGGTAATAAATACATAGGGGGGGTGGGGGGGGGGGACCAACAATTAGTTGTCTGATAAACTCCTGCACCTCCAAAATCTGAAAACTGATCTGGTCACGGAGGTGGGGTAAACGTTTCAGAAAAAAAGAAGTTAAAAACATGGTAATAAGGATTATATTGTATCCAACCAAATAGAAATAGCCTAATTTTCTGATGTAGGTACAATCAGGGAACATGCAGCTGTCCAGAGTAGCTTACTGGCCATCATCTTTGTGAAACCAAAGGGACACGCTGCAGTCATAAATCTAAATCCTGGTACTCACCATCTTGACTGTCTGTTGCAAGAGAAATCTGTAAAAATGAATGCAATATTTTATATGTTACAGGATTAAATGATGTTTTGACTGCGTTTTAGGTTTTTCTTATAGGTTTTTAGGGTTTCTAAATAGTTACATTTCAGTCATCTCATTTACATCAAAATTTCAGTCAAGCATATTTAAAGGGGGTTGAAGGTGCATTCCAGGCAAAAAAAGGTAGCATGGAACTACATAGAGTTGGCACAACCTATTTGCCAAGGGATTTAAGAAGTGCAAATTGGCAAATTGTGTCCGTACCCCAGATCACGCTCTTACATATTTATATAATTCTGAGGTTGGCAGTAAACTGGTGTTGCAGGAAACCTGATCCCAAACCTGTGACTAAGCAGACTAAGAATTCTCAACTTCATTTTTGTGCAGTTTAATTAGGTACTCTGCAAGCCACAAGCATCATTACAAGCATATCAGAGGGAAGAAGGTTGAGCTGCACAACTTGAGGCTGCAGTCCTGCTAAAAGGCATTGTTTAATCCTGCATAATAAATGTATAAAAAGTCTGCATCAAGGAAAATGAGTGAACATTCTGACAGTCACAAACCTAGGGAATTCAAACCAAGCCCATGATAAAAAAAAAAAAATGTTAGCAGTGGTTTCCCCTAACGACAACCCCACAAGAAAGTGATCAGTAGATCCAGTTATAAAGGCATGCAAATCTCAGCTTTCCCTTCTATAACTGGTGTATATTGCCTCACCTGGAGTGGTAACAGATTAGGTAACAGGAAAGAAATGATGGTGATGTATATGCTGGCGTCCATGGACCTGAAACAAGTTTTCCTACAGCCCCTAAAGTCTGCTTCACATTAACCTATTTCAGCAGTGTAACAGATTAGAACAGTACGAGAGTATAATAGGCACCAATCAGCAGGCTCCGTCAGGGCACACAAATGGCGAGAGATCTTCTTACACGTATACCATATTAGATTCCAACTTTTTCACCTTGAGGTGGAATTAATCTCAGAGAGACAAAGATTATTTTGTGACATGGCTTGGTGCAGGTGATCAGAGGCTTATAGGGTGTGAAAACATGCATTAACAAAGAGTAAGCAGTTATGTCACTTGTGAATATCGTAGGTCGCCCATGGGTATTACACAGTGCTCCCCAGACTTGCGGCCACTTCCTCAGGCATACAAATTTGAGTACAATGACCATTCAGTAAACAATTACAGCTGTCTCTACTAAAAAAAAAAGGTATGTTAGCTTCCAGGGCAGAGGCCAAGATGAGGCTCCTCTCTAGGAGGGAAGTGGGAGTAGCTGGATCAGGAACCTTTTTTGACTCTGCATCACCCCAACCATCCTCTGCACTCTGTAGGACTAGGTTCCCCTTGTGTAATCAGCCAAACTTCAGTGTCAATGTAACCAGTTCGAGGCAGGAGAGACTCCTTACTATGAGGGATAGGGAGTGTAGCCGGGGCAGGAGCCTCTTCTGGCTCTACATCATCCCAGCCATCCCCTGAACTTTGTAGAACCAAGTTCCCCAGTATAATTAGCTGAACTTCACTGCTAGTGTGACCAGGCCGAAGTGGAGAGGCTCCATACCATGTGGGATAGGGGGTGTAGCTGGGGCAGGAGCCTCTTCTGTCTCTACCTCACCCCAGCTAGCCCCTGAACTTTCCAGAACCAAGGTTCCCCAGTGTATTTAGTCATACTTCACTGCTAGTTTGACCAGGCCGAGGCAGGAGAGGCTCCTTACTATGGGGGTGTAGCTGGGGCAGGAGCCTCTTCTGGCTCTACATCACCCCAGCCATCCCCTGCATTCTGCAGCACAAGGTTTTCCCAGGGTAATTAGCGGGACAGCCGTCCCTCTCTATATTAGGAGCAATGACAGTAGCTCAAGATACACAGAGCACAACGAACAGTTGTCAAACTGACAGCAAATCTCCGATGACTACAGCTGCAAGCTCAGAGCCACTAATCAGGTCCAGAAATGTCACTGTGAATTGCGCATGTGCGGGTCAATGACATTCACAGCACAGGCAAAAATTAACACACGCCTGTGCGGGGAAGCTACTGGCTTTACACAACTTACTGGGCCTGCTTCCCCGCACATGCGCAATACAGGCAAATAGCCTGTAAAATTTCTGGACCCAATCACCTCTTCTGTGCTTGCGCGGACGCGGTCCAGATTTTTAACAAAGTCCAGGATTCTGTTACAACACTGGCAGTGGGTGGCTGTAACTTCTACTGCTGCGCTCAATTGATCAGTTTTTCTTTATGGCCTTCATCTTAAGAAATGCTTTACTAAGAATATCACCCAACGGTTCGTAGATGAACAAGCGCCTAAAAATAATGTTTCTTTAAACTACAGGACAATGTAAAAGACACAAATCAATCTCTGTAAACAATACATTATTGAGCCCATGTTAATTAAGCAGGGGTAGTAAAGCTATGGCTGCTGTTAGCCTGTCGATGCTTTGTGTAGGCTGAACGGCTACAACTGTCTGGGACCACCTATGTTGCAGGTGCAAGAAATCACTGATTCTTGTCTCAGGAATCCACTGTTGGACCCAATTATCCTGTTTTTCTGCAAGGCCTAAAGGACAAATGCTAAGAATGTACAGACACAAAGAGTGACATGTATCAGATACAAGAGGTCGCTAGTCATAAGAAACTGTAATTGGGTGGAGCAGGATAATAGACCCAGGAAAAAAGTTGCATACTCACATGGCTCCAGGCAGTATGGAAATAGCAAGAAGCAATAATGACACCATTCTGTACTTGTATCAAACTACTAATACCCTTTTAAGAAACACACATACATTCCATTATCTCTGTCCTACAATAAGCCCCATAGAGACACAATGTCCAATACAAATAGCTTCTATTATAGACATTTCACAGGAAAAAGAATGGGTCAGTATCAATTCAGCTTCTCAGATTCTATAGTCAATCAAGTTTTATTTTTAGGGCCCATTCACACCATGTCCGGATCATCTCCAGACCAGACCAGATTGTTTCCAGACCCAAGATGCATCCTAATGTATCCCTGCGCTATTTCTGGCCTCTGTTCACACCAGCGCAGTCCGTTCCAGACCAGAAAAATACTGCTTGTCCTATTTTGTCTGGTCTGGAATGCAGTGGAACGCATAAAAACGCTTTAAAAAACGCATACAAGCTCATTCCAGGTACACCTGCATTTAATTTAATTTATCGACTGCATTAATATGCTCCAACATGGAGACTCATAAATAGAGTTAGGACCACACTTCACAGAGCAACCTTGACGGGGCAGTGTGGCCTCTACATAATTTTGGCCAAGGTTGTGTGCAACTAAAACCTCTGTTTTTAACGCATACTGTTGACAGGGTAACTTTTTGTTTTGTTGCAGGCTAGCTGGCAGGTGTGCTGGGGACTCTTTTTGTATTTTGTATAGTTATGGATCTCCTTGTTGATGACCTATATGCAACCTGGTTACGATAAAATACGATATTTAATTGTATTATGAATGAATAGTTTGACACTTTATAACTCTTTATTTACTCTCTTGTTTACTGCAAAATGTTATTTTTTATTGTAAATAAAAACAAAGGTACAAACATTCAGTTTAGTTGCGTTTAGAGAAAACGGAATTTTGTGCTTCTAGAATCCGATTAGAAACTCTAGACGAGGCTATACTGATGTAAATGTAGCTAAACTTGACTAAACCTGCTTCGGGCCTTATGCACACAGGCTTATAAAACCATAGAACGTAAAAGGTAGACATATAAGCTTTGGTAAAAGTCGGTTCAGATATTTTGTTATTTTGGGATTCGGATCCGAAATTCAATTTGGTTCCGGTTTCGGATTCGAACAAAATCAAAATTTCGTTAGTTTTGGATGAGTTAATGAATATTCGTTGCGAATACCCTGTTTCCCCTAAAATAAGACCTACCCCGAAAGTAAGACCTAGCACTATTTTTCAAGATTCCTGTAATACAAGACCTACCCCGAAAATAAGACCCTGTTTGGTGGTAGCATGTGAGGGGAAACTTGAACAGCAGGAGAGATGGTATCAGCCTGCAGGGACATACTGTATTAAGGGGATGACAGGGGACTCCCTCCGGCCAGCGCAGTGACAGGGAGCATGCCAGTACCAGACTTCACCAACTGCTGTCCCCGAAGGCGCTGCTTAATGTAATGGTACTGTACTGTAATGTGTACCGGTAGATGGTACTGTACTTTACCGCATTGTCCACTGCCTGATATCCCCACTGCTGCACCGCTGGTACCACTGCCCCTGATGGCAAAGGAAGCCGGCGCTGTAGAAAGCAAGGCTGCGGCGGCAGATCGAGCAGAGCCGCATTAGCTGATACTTCCTCTATAGCGCCGGTTACTGTGACAGGCGGAGTGATACCAGATAACTTTGGATTGCTGTACATGAATAACTTTAGATTGTTGTACATTTTGTTGCACATTAAAAAATAAAAATAAGACATCCCCTGAAGATAAGACCCAGTGTGGTTTTTGGGGGCAAAAAAAATATAAGACAGTGTCTTATTTTCGGAGAAACACGGTACCAGAGAAAACCATATACAGATATTAATACTTAAGCTGGGGCTCCCAGACCCGAATGGCATTCGGGAGCTCCCCTAATGCAATTCAGAAATTCGTATCCCGAATGCCATACAATTCTGGGAGTCATATACAGATATTACTAAAGCTGAGGCTCCCAGACCCGAATGGCGTTTTGGAAGTTCCCGTATGCAATTCAGAGATTCGGATCCCAAATACCATTCGGGACTAGGAGCCTCAGCTTTAGTATTTATATTATAAAGTTCTTATAATATAAAGCCAGGTATGCAGAATTGGATATAGCTGTGCCACATGATTTTGTATTGCTTTAGAAAAAAATGTGACCTGTCCCTTTAAGAAAAAGTATCGGTACTCGTACTCGGCCTTAAAGTGGTATCGGTGCATCCCTAGTATATACTGTATATATGGCTCCCATGTTGCCGTAACAAAAATTAGTGTTCAGACCGATTCGGATGCATTACACCGAAAAACACATCTGATTGGCCAGAAAAGTCACATGTCCGATCCAATTTAGTTTTTGAACAAAATTCGGACGGGATCTGAAATTCCGAAACGGAAAATTTGGATGCATTGGGATTCGGAAATTCGGATGAGTCTGAAAGTCCAGATTTTGGAAAATCGTATGAATTTTGATTCGGAAAGAAACGAATCGCACATGTCTAGTAAATAGCGCATGTACTTCTGCGCCTGTGTTACACTGTTGCAGCGCACAGTTACCAATATTAAAGAACGGCTGTAGACGGTTGTACACCTGTTTATGCTGCTACTTGCAGAAACCCGTGCATGTATTATATGTATACAACCCTGGACCCAGCTATGACTTTACCCCAGCAGTGGCATAAAACCACATACAGCCGCCTACAACCAATCATTAAAGGAGAACTATGAGGTGAGTGATTTTCACTCAACCTCATAGTCCGAGCCGACGTGTGACAATTAAGACTGGCGGAACGGACGGGGGAGGGGGCGGTACAGCTGGCTCTGCCTCTAGATAGGCAGAGCCAGCTGTCACTCGCGCAGCTGGGTGGATCTCGACAGTAATGTCGGGATCCATCACGGCTGCGGCGGTCTCACTATACCACGAGCTGTAGTTCGCGATATACTGACCTTTGGGTCACGGGAGGACGCTAGTTTACGTTCTCCCGTGACCCTTAAGAGAACTATGGGGGGAAAAAAAGTTCTCCTTTTAATATCGGTGGCTGTACATTGCAGCTGTGTACCTGGGCACTGAAAATACACCTCCATGTTACGTTCAATGGCCTCATACTGCCACATGAGACCTTAAAGCAGGAATTATTAAGCATAGAACAAACATTTCTGGGAAGCTTAAAAAAGTTTTTTCGTTTCCAGATAACTGCTCCTGCTTTTAGTTAATCTAATCTTGCAATCGTGCAAATGAATCTTAATTCACTTTTGATCATTCGGAGACTTAAGAAATCATTAGAGATCAATTGATGCAACTTTCCATATGCAAGCTTAGTTAGATTACCATAAACTATACAAAAGATTCCTTTTTCTCACAGTGTTTCTAACCCAAGCTGGTCAGTTTTGGTTATTAGAATGGAATATCATTTCATTTTGTAAAAGAAAGGAGGGTCTTTTGTACTGGTCTCTATGCATTGTGATATCAGAAATTCTTTTGAAAAAGTCCCATATTAACACTTTTATGATTCCTTTAATTTAACTTCAGATTATTGGATTAGCAAGCCCTGCAGGTAAGGTTGCGGGAGGGCCTCTAGTGAAGTATAGTCATGTGAAATTAAAATTTTTAAGCTCTGGTCGTTTGCTAGCTTTGTATTGTCAGGGTTGTGCGTTCACTGCTTGTCTGCATCTGAATAGACATGACAGGGTAAGACATACGCATTTTCTTAACAATAGCTTGCTACAGCCCTATCCCATTATAAATACCCATACCCAATAATAGACCACACCAAGTTGGATATAAAATGGCTGTAGTAGCCGTTTATTTAAATATATTAACTTTATAACAAATTGAATATAAAACATTCAACCATAACAGTTTAAATACAGTGTATTTCTATCAATGTGAAGCTGAGGTCTGTGAAGACACCTTTGGTCTCCTACCGTAGAGCTCTGCATACGACTTAACCAACTGGCCCCTAGCCGCAACTCACCGACTCAGGGGCAACATCGTACATAAAAC